GTCAGAAGAGCATATTAATAGTAATATTTGTCATTTCCTTATAAGAAAATATTCAATATCATTGCCTGAGCAGCCAATGCTACCATTAGTTGAAATTTATAAAATCTTTCTAATTATAAAAACACTTTTTCAGGAAAATAGATTTCTCAAGTCCACTAGCTGTTATCACTCTTTCTGCTATTGACGAGAGCTTCCTTCTTGACTCTTTCTTTTGAGGTTGTGTGGAACATCAACATCTTGATTATGTCATTATTTTCTCTTGAAATGATAAACCCCTACTTATGTTCAAAAGATTAGCGAGGAGTGTGAACTGGAGGTTTCTGTTATTTTTGTTTTCAGGCTTCTCCAAATAAAAAGTTATATTATAAGGATAATTTCTCATCTTGAAAGTTCCGACATAAATTGTGCAAGTTTTATATCAGATTTTATTTTCACGTGATGATATTTTCAATAGAACTTATTTATTTGGTCTTAAATATTTTACATGTATTGTTGGCTCATCTTTTCTGTAAATAAGATTAAAGGATTTTCTTTTATAAATTTACATTGAAAAATGATAATTTTACGTAAATTAACATATAATTGAGAATATGTACTTTATTACTTTTTGTGTTGTTGAAATAATTTAAGATTTTGATATATAGAAAATTAAGTTAATTTGTATTTTATTAGAAAAAAAGGAAAAAATATATACTTTGATCAATGGTAAAAGCTAATAAAAGAGGATTATTCTATTTATTTTCCTGATATATTATAGGTCTTCACTCTATCTTTTTTTCTCACTAATACAAATTTTATGTCCTCTTCAACTTTTAGATATTCATATTATCTTCTTAGTTGTTTATATACTATAAAAAGTAACTGTCTATATTTCTGAGATGAGGTATTATGTACATTATTTACATTATTTGGACTATTGTCCTCATCTTTGTCGCCATATTTATTACAATGTTTCGGCCTTTCAGTATCTGTCTATATTTCTGAGATGAGGTATTATGTACATTATTTACATTATTCAGACTATTGTTCTCATCTTTGTTTATATTTATTACAATGTTTCAGCCGTTTATGCGCTTGGCCTTCTTCAGGTGGTTGGAATACCGAACTGAACCCTTTAAAAGTAGAGACACTGGGGTAGACTGTTCTAGTTCCGTGCCATGTTTAATGGATGTCAGTTATCAGTTATCTCCTGTTAATTTCCCTCTCCAAGTTCTCCACTGCCTTAAAAGGTATTGAACTCACACTCTTTGGGTCCTGTCACTGGATCTAACTAACAGGATCCACAGGAGATAACTGATAACTGACATCCATTAAACATGGCATTTGGAAAGAAACAGTCTTTTCAACAGATATTAAAATAAAAAGTTCAGTTCAACATTCCAACCACCAGAAGAAGGCCGAAGATTCAAAAAATAATCTTTAAAATAAATATGGCGACAAAGTTGAGGACAATAGTCCGAATAATGTAAATAATGTCTATAAAAAGTGTAACTCGTAATAAAGCAGAAGTGTATTCTGTGCAAGCAATGCCAATTAGTATATCAATATTTTTAATTGATTTCTTCTAGGAAACAGTTTTAAATTTGTGAAAGGGGTTTTTGAGCATTTTGTTTCTCTTTTAATTCCCCCAGCAAAATGTTGCTAATAATTTATGTCAAATGCTGTTGAGAATGCTACTATTCTTTTGTCAGATCTAAGCGGACATTTTCAAGAAACTTCTCTGTCTTCAAAATTCTCTAGATTGAGGTCATGTAAATTTTCTGGCTACTTACCAAATTCATGAAGTTTTTTTAGTATGTACAAAACTCTACAGTGTTGATAGCAGATACAGAAAGGAAACTATAAGGACTTCTACAGAAAGTAGTGAAGGAAAGTAAGAAGAAAAGACTAAACATCAATTGCAAGAAGAAAGAATGTATGGTTGTTAACAAAAGGAACAGTCTAACATACAAGTTCTAGATACCAAAATCAAAACCATTACAAAAATTTAGATATCTTGGAAGTGTTTTAACATAGGAAAGTGCAACACTGAAATCCAAAGGTGTATTGGGATAGTGAAAGGTACATTCTAAAAGCTAAGCAAAGTATTAAGAGACATGAAAATTTTATTAGAAACAAAATGTAGTGAACTGTTATGTAATATCAGTCTTCCTATATGGCAGTGAATGCTGGACAATCTCTTCACAGATGAAGAAGAGACTTGAAGCAATTGAAATATGTTGTACAGAAGGATGCTGAGACCACCATTGACTGAACATCTGATGAATGATGAAGTTTTAGAGAAAATGGAAGCAAAAAGGACACAGACTTTACATCAGAAAGAGAGTTGATATTTCTCAGGTAGATAATGAGGAAAGAGATCTTGAGTAAATGTATGGCAGAACAAGGTTTAGAAGAGATAAGAAAAAAAAATTTATTAAGAGCTACAAAGGACAGGAAATTGTGGAGAACCATGATTGCCTATGTCCTGAATGAACACAACACATAGAAGATTTAAAACATAACTCCAAATACATCCATTTCTTTACCAATAAGTTAGACATCAAACTTCACAAGAAGAGGTAAATATTTATGTTTGTTCACAGATTGTCAGCAACTAATATCAAACATTAAGAGAATCTGAGAAGACCTGCTTAGTTGTCCAAATTGTTAGATTCCATCAAGTATAGTAGGCACTCTCATTTTGGAAGGAAAAATCCAGCAATATCCCAAAAAAAGTTTTATTATGAGACATCCTTTAAATATTGATTTATTTGAAAATCATATTCTTTCCTTAGTAACTCCAGTATGACTGGTGGAGATGTTTTTTTTTTTTTTCTTTTTTTTTTTTATACTTATTCATTATGCCAAATGAAGTGGACATAGCCAAATAGAAAGTGAATAGGTTGGGGACTGGCGGGGGGGCACCTAGTAGACATCTTCCTATTTTTCCATTCACAACATCTGTTGGCTTTTATGCAAAATTTCTTGTGTTTTGGTTGTTTTCAATAGAGTTCTCTTAACTGGAATTTATTATATCTCAGACGTTTAGTTGAATTCTGACTGAAAAACTTTTTTGCTTGATATGATTTTAACAAACTGAGAAGTTTTTTTTTTTTTTTTTTTTGTAAACATTCTCCGCCCAGCATCCATTCTGTTATTAAACACCTTTATACAATACTATGATATCCATGTTTATATCTTTATAATTTGATTGTGTATTGATCTATTATTAGCATATACACTGTCATAGCAAAAGTCTTGGGCCAACTACATAAAATGATTATACACCTTTATTTCATTAAGTTAATATTGTTTAGCAGTATGTTTTTTTATCAGTAGTTTTTGTGGGCTTTGAGTATTAGAAAATAAAGTATTGCCATTTCCTAGTTGCTGCATAATAGAAGCTACATCACATTAAGCAGCCTGAAGCTGAAAAAAGCCATGCTATTGGGCTAATGAAAAATCTGAGATGGTAGTCATGATAATATGCAAATTTATAAGTAGGAATAGTTCCATCTTATAAAGTGATGTGTAAGGTGACTTGCTAGATCATTGTAGTTTAACTTTGTTATTCACTTTCAATTTGATGATAAAATTAATATTAACCAAGGTAGCCCAAATGTTTTGCACATCAGTGTATCTATCTACATTGTTTGGATTGTTATCCTCATCTTTATTGCCATATTCACAATGTTTCAGCTGTTGTATACTCCAGCCTTCTTCAGATGACATACATTGGAATTTCAAAGCAAACCCTTTATTTAGTGCATGTGGGTAGATTGTTTTAATTCCACATGCCATGCCTTTTCTTGATATCTCAACCCAGTGGATAAAAGTGTTGGTTGAAGTAATCCAAAACATGACTTGACTCAGAGTTGTGAGTTCAATACCTAGCCACAGTAGAGGTGAAACTGGAACAATCTACCCTGGTGGACAAAATAAAGGGTTTGGTTTAAAATTCCAGTGTATATCATTTGAAGAAGGCCAGAGCATACAACACCTGAAATGTTGTGAATATGGCATTAAAAATGAGGACAACAGTCCGAATGGTGTAAATAGTGTAAGTAGTTACAATACCTCATCTCAGAAATATAGACAGATGTCAGTGTATCTGCATATACTTATTTTCTTGTGTATATACATGCGTGTATCCTTGTATAATATATGTGGAGTAATTGGCCATAGTTATGTCATTGACTAAATGCTCAACAAACAGAATTAACAAAAGGTTAACAAAATAAGAAAAGGAAGAAAAAGGACAGGGCAGATTAATACTAAGCAAACAATATATTTGCAAGTCAAAACTAGGCAAATCAACAGTAATTAGGTAAAAAAGTTCACAAAGTAAGAATTATGTTCGCACACAGTCAAGTGGTTATAGTGTTCTGACTTCAAGACCAGAAGGAAAAATATGGCAAATGAAACTGAATTGGTTTAGTTTTATTAGTTAGGAAGAAATTTCAGCATGTATCTGTAGGATTTGTCTATAAATTTAGGGAGGGAGATGTTTTTAGACGTTATTTCTTTTGGATTGGAACCAGCAATATAGATATATATTTGTGTTACTTCCCTTTAATATAAGAAATTGATTGTTGCATAGATTATATATCTACATATGCAGGTGTGTGTATTTTTATATTGAAAGCACTTATTTAGGTTTGCATTTTTATCATTTCCTCTAAGACTATATTAAAAAACATTTTTTTTTCAATTCTTTTTGAGAAACTTTTTCTTCTCTCAGACATTGCATTTGTCTTAAGAAGAGAATAAGTTTTTGAAAAGTTTGAAGTAAAAACATAATTGAATAAATAATCCCCAGATGTTAAAAAGCAAAGAAATATCCTTTTGTGGTATCATTTCTATTTATAAATGTAGATAAAATATTAATCCATTCTTTTGACTTATTGTAGCATAAAAGTTTTTTTTAAGTATATATTTTTAAATTGTATCTGTTACTATAATAGTTACTTAAATTGTTCTCTTGACACATCTATGTTAGTTCTTAACAATACTTATATCCATATCACATTGAAACACCAGTTCTTGTATGATCATCACAGTTAAGCAAAATTGAGCATGGTTAGTACCTAGATGGGTGACTGCTTAGGAATGCTAGGTGCTGTAAGTTTGGGTGGTATAATGGATAACTGCTTGGAATTGGAAATTGGAGAGCTGAGTTCCAATTCCAGTTGGGTTTGTTATATTCACTTGCATGTAAATACCCTTGGGAAAGATATAAATCCACCTCTTCTCCCTCCATCCAAGGGTTAATTAATCAGTAATTGTATCAGTAAATCATTATCTCCAAAAAATATTTACAATCTAAAAGTATTTTCTGGCTTTAAATGACCTGCAAAAGGTTAAGCTGTAAAAACAAATCAATCAATCATTTTTTAAGTTCAATGCCAAAAAACATTAATTGTTTTTGCTACTTGTTAAATATCAAATGATATTGCTTTCCTTCTTCTCTGGTTAAAGACCATGGATATTTGCTACATTTTTTTAATTCAGAATTGTCTTTCTCCTAGATTGGTTGCTAACCATGACTAGATGGCCTAATCTGCCCTGCTATTTAACACATAGCTGGAGGAGAAGAGATGGATTTATACCTTTCCCAAGGTTATTTGCACATAAGTGAATGTAACAAACCTGTTATAGTGGAACACACCTATTCTATAGTTAATAGACTCACCCACCTATAATAAGTAGTAATAGTAACGGAAGTCACTAAGTTGGTTGGCCAGTCAGTCGATGCCGGACGACCGTGAGTCGGATACTAAAATATCAGCGACCACAACTAGATTACTGTGTCATACCTATTATATGAAGTTCCTAACGTTTTGTACGTCGAACCTGTTTTAGGACTGGGTTAATACAAATACAAGCCTCCACTGTGAAATCACTCCATAACAAAACCCTACTGGGATTTGAATCCAAATTCTCATTCCAAGTCACTATTCATTACACCATCTGCATTTCCTAATATCCATGATTCTTATTGGGAGTGAAATTGGTGAATCTCGAATCCTCTTCTGTAAGCTCTTGTAAGCCAAGCCACAGCTCATCTGCTCTCATGACAAGGATGAAATCATTGGCCACTCACTGACCAGTTTCTTCCACATATCTGGGTTAAAAGTTGGAAAGGAATTCATTCACGGATAATGTGTCTTGGACAAGTAGATCTGGTAGAGCTCATCTCTCTCCAGCTTAAACCACAACCAATGTCCTCTGACTTGAAGGCTCACCTTGATCACAAATATGCATTTGTTGATTGACTTCAGGCAAGAAAGCCCTCCACCTAGTAATACCATGTCATCATTGCACTAGGTGTATATATAGCTATGAAACCCAGTCTATCTCATTGTGGAAATGGTCTACAAGAAGGTTCATCCACTTTTTGATAGCTCTTTTTGTAAATCTGTCTACAATTACTAATATCTGGAAAAATAGATTAATTCATTCCTTTCTCAAGTGACCTGGTATGAAATGAATGTAACTGCCTAAGCTGGAATTTGAACTTGGCCTGCCAATTCCATTTCCCATGTTGATAACCAATACACCACATTTTTAGTAACGTAGCTTCTCTGTGCCTTTTCTATAAATACTTCCATGGTAATTATTCTAATGAACTCTCCTCTATGCTACCTAGACTTTATGAATTTAAGCATAGTACTAGGTTGGCAGCAAGGTCTCATCATTTTGAAGTTGAAATTGCTAGATGCTACTAGAAGTTCTATGCTAATATTTTCTACTATTGCACTTCTTGCTTGTGGAACTCTCTTCTGGCTTTTTGCTTCCCAGTCATCTTTGATCTTCAAATATTTAAATGCAATATTAATTGTTATCTTCTGTCTTCTTAATTCCTGTTCTTTTATTGTTCTCTTTTCTTAATAGTTTTTTTTTCTTGTATTCTCTAACACTCAGCAATTCCTTGTGTCTTAGTGGCTTTATTGTCTTGCTTGAGGTGAATTGATTTTAAAAAAATTCTTTTACAGTGTAATAAAATAATAATGTTTATTCATTTCTCTACAGGTTCATTGTCAATTCAAAAAGGAATTTATACTTCGTACAGCACAACTGTATTAATTTCTACAGATCCAAAAATCACTTTTTTTTTTAAACCCTGGTCTAACAATAATAGTCTTTTGATTTTTATAGAGTCAAAGAGTATTTACACTATTTACATTGTTCACAAAGTTTTGGCTATTGTATGCCTTCTTCAGATGAAATATGTTGGAAATTCAAACTTATTTTGTTCACTGGGGGTAGATTGTTCCAGTTTCGCATGCCATGCCTTTTCTGGATATCTCAATTTCAGTTATTTCTCTTGAGTAACTCAACTCTCCATGTTTTTGTTCATCTCTGTTGTGACCAGATATTGAACTCACAACTCTTTAGGTCAAGTCACTGGATTACTTCAACCAATGCTTTTATCCACTGAGCCATGTGTTGTGGATATGACAATAAAGATGAGGACAACTGTCTGAACAATAGTGTAAATATTTACAATACCTCATCTGAGATGTATAGACAGTCCAAGAGTTTTGGATGGTAACTGAAAATTTAACTGAGATTGTTATTGTTTAATTTATTAATTCCGAAAATATTTAAGTGTTTCAAAGATAAGAGTTAATTGTGCATAACACAAAACCTACTTTGAAGCTGCTTTGCAGTTGAATCATTGGAATGGATAATAAGGACAATAATTAACTACATCAAAGATTCTACTGCTCAGTGGCTTCTGTGTTTTGTAATTAATTCTTATCTTTCACAGAAGATAATGCTATTATGTCTTGAATCCTCATCAAGTTGGATTCTGCTTTTGTTGATAATGATTTACACTTGTAATTACTTGTAAATAGAACCTTTATTTTTCTTGACTTTAAATTATTTTGATTCCCCAAGTTTAATTTGTCGTAACATGATTTCTAGTTTTTACTTGTGCTTGTTGAGTCAAACTTATTTCACTGGCTTCGATGTCAACCTGAGAAATGAGTCTGCTACACCAGTTTTGTTGTTTTAATAACATAGATACTTGTATGCAATGAACATTTGGTATCTTTTATCAAATAGTGATTTTATTTTTATAACATTTTGATTCTTTAAAAAAAAGAAAAAGAAAAGTAAAAACTGTTAGTACTTGAGGCAAGTGTGTTTTGCTAATAAGCTTGAGTCCTTATAAAATGTGTTTAACCTAAGAAACTCCACATCATATCTTGACCTGTTATTATTTGTAAGCACAGCTTCAGAAACACATGCAGTCATGCAGAAAAATCATTGAGAATTAATAAAAGCCTTAAGAGAAGTATTAATGATTACAGATGGCAATAACAAAAGGAAAAAAAAATTGAAAAATATCCAGGAATATGCTTTTTTCCCTCCCTTTATCAATGCCAAACCGAATCTTCAATTGGTTCCAAAACTAAATAAGCTTCTTTCACTCTAATAAAAATAATGAAGCTGTCATTTTTACAATTTTTATCTTTCTTATTGTAAATATATTATTTTTTTTCATATCATATTTTCCTTTTGCTTTATCCTTGTCTTACTTTTTGTTTTTTTATTTCTTTTCTACTGTGTGTATCTTTCTGTCACTCTCTCTTCTGCTGTGTATGTTCCTTACCCTCTCTTTTACTGAATACAGTTCTCTCTCTCTCTCTCTCTCGTGTGTGTGTATCTCTCTCACACGTTTCCTCTACATTCTTTTTTCAACCACTACTTTTTCATTCATATTCTTCTTTTGTTAACGCTATTTCCATTGTTTCTCTGTCTATCATATTTTTTGTTCTTTTGATCTTTTTTCCCCCATTATTAATTGTGTTATTATTGATATATATCACTGTCATCATCATCATCATTAAATTTACATTTGTGAACAAATTCAAATTGGCAATTTGCCCATAACACTTGACTTGGAGCTACTTTTCAAGTGTCTTTTCATTTGATAGATTCTGAACATTAACAAATGGAGTGGAAGTTGGAAGGGATGTATGTAGTGTACAAAGCCAAATCTAAGTGAATTAAACAACTTTTTTTTCCAAATTAGAAACCCCAATGTGAACTAAAAAAATATATTTTTTCCTTTTTCATATAGATACTTTAACCAATTTTAACTATTATTATTATTATTTATTTTAATATTTACAGTTTTTTTTCATATTTTATCTATTCTCTTTTCTCACTTTATTCCCTCTTGAATATACGTCTTACCACTTCCATCTTAGCAAAAAGAAAGGTTGATTTTATACTACAATGTATTTGGAATCACAAAAGGAATTAAACATGCTATGGCTATTTCTGATTGCCAGGTGTCTATTCTGTAGGGGGAAACAGATAAGTGTATATTGCCATTATTTAGATGTTAGACCAATGAATTAGCTATATAAAAGAAATCATAGTCATAAAGCTTATCAAATTTACTGTACGTTTTTTTTTGCATATGGGTATGATCAGCTTTTCAGGATCAATATAATTGTCTGATATTCCTTATAATTATAACAGCTACATAATTTAAATATATTTGAAATATTATTATAGCAAAATTAGGTACTTTCATGAGATTGCTAAAAAAGAGCATAGTTTTATGAAAAAGACGCCAAACTTGACAAAAACAAAATTTCATTGCCTAAAAGTTTGTAAGACCAAAGTATTTTTTTTAATTAATTTTCATAATTTTTCCTTTTTTTACATTCTAAATTTTGATTAAAAAAAAAAAAAAAAAAAAAAAACCTTGTTTCTCTTTGTATTACTGGACCTAGTAAAATAGCAAACTTTTAGCTTTTTTTTTTTTTTTTTTTTTTTTGTATGACACATTAATTTGGAAAATCTTGCAAAAATAAGAATAATTGTCGGATGTTAATGAAACTTTTAGAAACTATTCACAAATGATGGAAATTATTATAAATGTTTTACTTTTATTAAAGTCATGGCAAAAATATTTTTATTTTTTATATTTATTACCCCCCCAACTAATTTTATGAAACTTCTAGAAATTCAATTGCATTCACTTTAGTGATTATATTAGTTAAAAGCACAAGGCTTTGAGGAAAGCAAATCATATAGTTTTTTTAATTGGACCCCCCCTACCTGAAAATCATCTCTGAATTGTAACATAAAATGCAATAA